TATAACTTAGCAGTTTATTCCCCAATGAATTTCAGTTCTTTATAATTCGGCCCTTGCATACAGTAATATTTACGAATGCCTCTTCGTCCTTACCGCAGCCCGTTTGTCCGTACCGTAACGCTATTGTCCTGTACCGTAGCCCAGTAAAAAATTGTACAATTTGTAGCTTTAAAAAGAGCAAACCTGTAGAAATTCTTTAAAAAAGTTGTCTACCACATCTTCTAAGTTAGTTCTAAAGAAATTAATTAAAATTAATCGTATAATTACATTTCCCGGTTTTTATGGGAGAAAAATGATGGCGCAAAATTTTATAAATCGGACTTTAGAGCAATTTGGGTGCTAAATTTTGGAAGTAAAAACTTTGAAGGAAATTTTTTTTTATTCTTCTACAAGAATATATCTCATTGAGTGCAAAAAAACTTAAAACGGTATTATTATCGCACGTATTGATAGAAAAACAAGCCTGTTTAATTGGTCTACGGTACGGACAAAAAAACTTAACTTCCAGCGATAAAAGAGGCCAAAAAATTTTTTCTGTTGAAAAAGAAGATTGACCACTATTAAAATCGACTTTCCAAGAGTATGAGGACTTCAGAAAACATCCTGAAGTCTTGAAATAACTAAAGTCACTTTTTTACAAAACGATGGCTCCAAGAGCAAAACTTATTTGATTCTACTCAGAAGCGTAATGCGTCGTCGCGCCGGCTGCACCGCTTCACGTGTAGGTGGAGGTTCCAGTGACGCCGCGTAACCGTATGTAAGCTGAGCATGGGGCTTCTATCAATGACGTCATTCTTCGACGAAATTCTGGCGAAGAATCATGTATCAGAGTGCTTAATTTCGTAAACCGTTTAATGGTCCATTCAATCTAAAAAAGCGAACTCGAACGAAAAAGAGAACTTTCCTAACTTTTCTTGGAAAAAAGATTTTATCAGGAGGAACGAGGCAACGGCGGAATGCTCATAAAGCGTTGAAGCACAACGTGGGCCTTTTCAGCCCCATTCTTCGATGCCGCGATTATATTAACGCGAGTTTAAAAAATCGCGCCAAACACAGTGCCGCCGGCGTTAAACACATATTAGCGCCTACAAGACTGTAGTAATACTTCACGCATTGCGCCAAACTGTGCGGTCGGCATGGAACCTATATTAGCGCCTATATACGACTGCATGAATACTTCTCCCATTGAGACAAACGCAAGGCAGTCGGTCAGTTGGTGTGAGACGCAAACCAAGATTTTATTTTTGACGATATTCTCTCTTCTTTTGCACTCTTCTTTATCCTTGCCTGATTTCTCAACCATGTTTTTCTTCTCTGTTTCCATTTTCGTTCCGTGGACCTTTGGCAGGTTTTTACAGATGGAATATAGACTACATTGAGGGAGCAATTGACTAATTGACTTAATTAATTTCTTTTTTCCTGATAAGATCAAAAATTGAGAAAATTATCGTATCATTCTTGGCTTACTAAAAAAATTATATTTTTAAAAATCATCTTAAAAAAAAATTAATTTTTTTCTAAAACAGGTTAAATGGTAAAAGTATTTCATATTGACTCTCGTAAATTATTTCTGAATAATTATTGACCTAAGATTGAATTAAATCTCGAAGAAATGTATTATTCAAAAAAATACTGGTACATTTTTCTTTAGATACTTTCGCATTGAACATACAAGGGATAACTTACCTCTAAAATGTAGAACGGAGCGATTGCCAGTACATCTGGAATGACTGCATGTCGCAAGAGATGTGATCTGATTGTGTCTCTAGTTTTGTAATGTAAATTTGAGGGGGAGGTTTTCGTAGAGGGATCTAAAGTCGTTGGTAGTGGGATATTTTTATCCGTGGCAGCATTGAAATTCTTCTCGTCAAGATCATAATTTTCTGTTATTTGTTTTGTGATCGCCGTGTGCGTTATCATAGATAGAATGAGGCCGATTTGACAAGTCGATTTTTCGTGATAAGAACTTATTCTCGAGAACATTTTTAAAGTACGAGTTCGAAATAGGTACCGTGAAGCTCAATGCGTTTCCGTGTTACTGCAAGTATAATAAAACCGTTAAAACATTCTGGAATCACAAAGGTCTTAAAATTATATGCTGAAACTGAGGGCTGTATTTGTATTATAAAAAATAAAAACTTCATTTAGTAAACTTAATCATACTAACGGTCTGAAATGTTCATTGTTGGGCAGCAGATTCTGACTGGAAATTTTGTAAATATATTCTCGTATAAAAGCGGAATTCACAGAAAGTTTTAAAGTGGTTTTGTTTTGGTTTTCTGTTAAAAGCATCATACAATAATGTAATTTGAAATGCATTAGACTGATTTGGATTAGATCCAAAAAATTTCAAGAACTTTTTAAAAAATTGAGTTTCCTTCCCATGAAGAAACAAGTAGAAAATGAAAAATGAATGCAAATTTCACGTAGCAGCACTTAGTTTTTCAAATAGACTTGGTTCTCAGTGACTTCATTTAAGAATCTACAGAGAGGTTGACCTTAATAATTAAATTATTCTGGAAGTGACTACGATTTATTCAGTTCTGTGTATGTGTGAATTGAAAAGAAGTCAACATTTTTCCTCTCATAAATATTAAACTGTCTCAATTTAATAGGTATGCGAATAAAATAATAAAACCTTTGATAACGTCCATGCAAAAAAATTTACGCACTTTAAACTGCAATTCAGTCTCACTTGAGACTACCAACTAAACTAACCTCTTTCTCAACAACTTCCAAAATATCAACAAACCTCTTTATCAAGCGTCATTAAGGGCCTATTATTACTATTCTACCGTAACGTTCATTCAACCAATAAAGATTTGCGTGTTCAACTGGTCAGTATTCCTTAAAATTAAGTCTTTTTTAGGATTGTGGCAACTGTTACTGAGCTTGGTGCCACTCACAGTCAGTCATTTTATACACTTGCGGGTAGTGTTGTGGGATTTATTGCGTTGTCATTTCACGAAAAAATAAATATATTAATCAAAAATTACAAATACATACAGATAACATACAATACATACAAATTAAACACAGCAAAAGGTACAAATATTTTTGACACTAACATATGTATATTAGTTAAGGAAACAAGTCTTAATACTTCGTTGGCATCATGGACAAAATGGTAAAAAAAGAAAACAAATTAACGATTTAATGGTTTGCATCAGCCACTGTTTCATTTTTCCGCCTTGATGGAATTGTATCTTGATTTAAAGGCCAGCCTGATAGGAAAAAATTGATTGCATGTGGTCGTCCCAAATTATATTTGGTCACAAACTTTTCGATTGAGTAACAGTTCCTCATGAAATAGCTTTCTCTGAAAAAATATAGAAATATGCATACTAAATTCAATAGATATGGATAACATTTAGGGTAAATATTTTTGGAGGAAATTGCCAGAAAACTTCATTCTGGGAGGCCCGAGACATTACATGCACTATAATTCTCTAAAATTTTTCATCACATAGTGTACTATTGAAATGATGATATACGATGAAATGGAATTAACCTTGAAATTTTCTAATAATTTGTATCTAAAAAAATCAGCAAGACTATGTAAAAATTGTAGAAATATGACTAACCGTCATTTTGAAACATTGAACATATCCTACGGCTCGTACCAAAACACAACTGCAGATGTTATGCCTTTTCTGGCGTCATGCAAGAAGGATTGCCCTATGAATTTTTTTAGAGCTTTGAAAGGATGTTTCTCGGCAGAAACATGTGCATTTCACCAAGAAGGTAAAATACCAAAATTTAGGGGAATTCCCTTCCCCCAATGTTTGCAGACACAATACTAATAAATATACACATAATTCAACGAAAATGTAATTCATTGTTGACTCACTTGTCGAAACCTGTCAACCTTTTTTCATCAAAATGTATCCTTTCTGGTTGTTTGTAGACAAGAAAAACGTATCTGTGCAATCCTAAAAACATAAGAACACCCGGATAAAATTTTTGTTTTTGTTTTGTTTGTTGATACACTTGAAAAATGAATAAAAGATTATTAGATTATCAGCCCTTTAAAATTGAAACTACTAATACTCCGTCTCTTATAACAGTTGGTCTACTGCATTCACAATGATAAATGTCTACGTTTACTGCCCTCATTAAGATAAATTTTTATTAAGATAATAATCAGGATTCATTTTTGAAAGCTTCTTTAGCTATTTATTATCATTCGCTCCATGATACAGACTGAATCAGAACAAATTAGGGGGGAGGAAATAGATGAGATAGAGAGGGAGGGAAGGAGCAAGGGAGATGTATAGGTGAGAATGGAAAGAAGGAGAGGGGAGAGATGATAAATGTAGCATATCCTGAAATTTTTCTAGAAACAGAATGCTCCACCTGCACTTAATTCTAATGTACCTATCACATCTACTTATTTATTAGGAGAGGCCTCAAATGTACATCGACTGTCGCTGAGAAATAGAGTTGATATGAAAAGAGAACCTGTATTCCGAGGAGCTATTGGTCCTAGATATGTAGTGAGTTTCTCTCCAGCTTTCCATCTATTTCTGGGGATATTTGTCACAATCCAGTGTTGTCTGTCCTTGTAAATCGGGAACTTCCTCGTAGGTACATCGACATCTGCCAATCAAACAGATAAATCAGAATATTACAGGCTCTATAATATCAACAGAAAAAGTAAAACAATTCGTCTCTCCAATTATTTAGAACTTCACGCTAACTTTTCGTTTTTGCCTAAGGAAATTTAACAACTCATTTTCTTTAAAATATCTAAAAATTTTCTTTACTATATATTTGTAACTCAGAAATAATGGGAAAAATTGTCTAAAAAAATGGGGCTCAATAGTGTTGACCCCCTCAATAGATAATTTTTTTGAACATAGGAATATTAGGTACCTAATTTTCATTTTTCTGTTTTTTATTGTTGAAAAGTTAAGGGGGGTAGGGGGACTATTTATGGTACTGACACCCCTGTGTTCACATACATCACTAGATAATGCAAGAAGAAAAGCTGAAGTCTACGAAAATAGTTTGCTACCTATCATTTTGTCGTGTGATAATCAGGCACAAAGTTAGATAACAGAACATGATATTTACTATACCTAATAAAATCAAGGTGTAAAAGGAAGCATTGTTAGAGATGGGCCAATCAATCAAACGAGGTAAGCGTTGAGCGTCTGCGGGATCGATTTTGTTGCCAAGATTTACGTACACGTTATGAGTGTAACGAACCTATACAATAAATGACGAAACTTATTTTCAGGGTATACATAAACTCAAGAATATAATTCCTCATTAAGGGTTATCAATTTTGACTTACTTCATCTCTTCTGACAGGAATGTGTATTTATTATTTTATGTGAGCCCTAGAAAGCATAGAATTACACGAACGAAAGGTCTCATCTCAGGTATGCTCTTACGTTAGGGGAGTTGGAAGAGCGTGCCGTGATGATATATCTATAATATCACATTCAGTTTTATGCTTTCGTTCTAAGTTTTAGCGCCTTAAAATATCGTAAGTTCAGTTAAAGAGTATGTAAATTTCATATCTGGACACATATCACCTTTTTTACAGGAAGAAAGAAAAAAAAAATATTTTAAAACAATAAAAAGTATGGGAAGGAAGAACTTATAATGGTTTATGTGGCATTATTTATTTAAGTTACTCCTTTAAACCTCTCTTTAAGGAAACTTGATTGGTAGCGATTAGAAAAAGTTCCTCCGAACGTGGTTAATTTGAAAACGCGCCGTACGGAATACACGAGTTTCAAAGTGTATTTTAGAAATCTCTGATGTCCTCAATGTGATTATTGTGTGATTTCACTCTTAAAAATTTGCTTTGGCTGTATCACTTGGATGCAATAAACATAATTTACAGTATTTTCTAAGGCGCGCTGGTTGGATTATTTTTTTTTCACCACTGTTTCATAGGTGATGAAAACCCAAGATTGAGGATAGATTAATAAATTATATACCTTACAAAGGTTTTGCGGTGTCTCACGAACAGCATCTGGAATAATGCTATGTTCAAGCAAAAAGTACTTAATAGCTGACTCAGTGTTTTCAAATTTCAAGGAAGCGCTTTTAGAGGGAGCAGATAGTGTGTAAACCATGAAGTCGAGCAACAAAATAACAATCCAATTCAGTCTCAGATGAGCCTTAAGCAGATTTTTTCGTTTGTATAAAAGTATTTCTTTTAGACTATCGCTGTTGATACAAGTATCCATCTCCAACCGTACCTGAAATGAGAGGTGATTTATTATAGTTCAGGACTATTACAAATCTCAAATAGGTATATCGATAGCTAGATAGGAAAGTGTGCAACTCGTTTTTTTGAAGAATCTCTCGCTATGTTTCGTTTTTTAAAAAGAAAACTATTCAAAAAATATCCATAAAATACTATGAAAATATTTTTGAATGAATGAAGAAAATTCAAAGGAAATGTAACGGAAAACTTTTGAATGGTTTTTTTTTTATTCTAAAATTAAACCTGAGGAGAGACTTACAACGTAGCCATCGGAGATGCATATTTTTAAACTTTCGCTAAAGGTATATATGGGGTTTCTGTCCGAGTCAAATTTAATAAGTACTCTTACACATTTTTCATTTTTCTTCAATGTAATCTCGCATATTGCTTGTAATCAAATAGTGACAATGTTATAGAGGGGGAGAGGGTAATTAATGGAGCAAGAGATGATTCAGTTTTTGATTAGAGGTTGTTCAACCCTGACCATCACAACAAAACGTTGGAGTAGGTCAGTAAACGGAGTGCTTATCAAGTACCATTCATGAAATGCAAGGAAATCTGGTACATCGAGATAAAATTGGCCATGCTGCCAAGAAGGGCGGGTATCTGAAAAGCTCTATGCGGGGGCATTGTACTTTAAAAACTCTTGGTGATTAAGTCTTGCAGAGGACTCTGCTGAAGCACCGGTTGATAAAATGAAAAATTTTCTCGAAACTCTAGCAACATTCAGAAGTATGTTCAATCGAGGATAATATTTTGATGTGGAGAAATTGTGATGGTTAACTGAAAAAATAAATAAAAATATATTTTCACCCTTTGAAGGACTTTGCCATATTATAATTAAATCAGATTTAGAGGTACAATACATACGATTTCTCTGGATTTTGCTACGCCTATTTAAAAACATTTTTTTAATATTTCGGGGGACAATTTCAATTTGTTTTCTCTTAAATGAACTAAGGGTATTTTTTGTGGGAGACAAACACAGTCAATAAACAAAGTTAATTTTGTTTACAAGAAGTAACAATCAAAGTGCGTGTTTTTTCTTTGGTTTCTTCACGGGTTTCATATCAGAGTTCTAAAACACAAATGATAAATCTAAATAAAACAAATGGGACTTACGATCAAAATTGAAGATTTTTGAGAAAACTATTGATTTAAACTCACTTTTTTTTTAGAAAAAAAAAATTAAAAAAACTGTATGTAACTAGATGTTAACAAAAAATGATGAGCCCGCACACACCGGAGTTTTCAAACACAATGAGTCTCAGTATATCATTGGGTTGAATAAAGTAATGTAACAGACTCATTTTTCCATGAAACATCCGACCCTGTTTTCATTGGTCAAAACATGCGGATGAGGTGATGGTCTGATGGCGCGACATGGTACTTTATCAAAAACTATAAACAGTTTCGCTCCCTCTTTTCCGAGGTTTGAAAATAATACCTCGTGTTATTAATAGACACAGACAAATGCATTTTTTCTTGGTCAGTAGAGCAATTAATTTGAATCGAATAATCTTCATTTGAGTATAAACATTGGCAAAGCCCATCCTCCTCCTCACACATTGAATCGATGACAACACATGTGATGTAACCTCTCATAATGATAGTAACGGTAGGTAGGGCCTTGCCCTTAATAGACAGTACATTTTCAATCACAGTCGATTGTCAGTTTTTGCAACGTTATGCATAATTAAAAACTTAGAGGTGGCGCATATTGCCCTCGCAATTCGAATAGGACAATAGGGGCTCGATTTTGGTTAAATTTTGTAGATCATGGTATATTGATGCGATCTAAGTCGAATTTTAAGTTTCTGCTCTACACGGTAATAGTTTGCGATCATTTGCAACTAGAAATAAGTAGGCCTTTTTTGGGTGGGAAATCAAGGAAAATTCAAGTCTTAAAGAGGACGAGACATATTATTATACCAGTTTTATTGAGCTGCATTATGACTCTCCTATACAATTTTTCAAATTAATTATAAGACTTGATTAAAGTAGGACCGAAGTCAATCAATGATGTTCTTTAATATAATTATCATTATTTTTTCAAGAGTTTAGTTGAGTTCTTTTTGCACGCAACTTAAAAAAATTGTATACACAATGCAACGCCAGTGTTCACTATTCAACATTACGCTATACCTATCTCCTTAAGTCAATATTTACTTTCATTAACATCTCAAGATCGTTTCGGAACATCTTCATTATTTCCCGTGACCATTCATAGAATCATGAGCTTCCGATTTTTTATCTTGAAAATATACGAATTAAACACTCATACTCAATGACTACAACAAATTTTTCCCGATGCCCGCATCCGTGGTTTAAATGTTGTTCTAGGTATCAAAAGAGAAATAGAAACCTGAAAGAATATCTCCGTACTGTACGATGACGTTGAATTCTCAACATTTTTTTTTTTTGGCCTAAAAATAAATAATTAAAACAGTTCTCTATCGTGTTTCTTTTTCATAGGTCATGTTGAACATATTATTGATTTAATATTTTTTTTCTCCTTGCATAACGCTTATCTGAAACTACTTTCATAAACAAAGCACAAAAATACATTCTGCGAGGAGGAGAGGTTGACAAGCTGTAGGCGATGAAAGTAGGAGGTCGTAGTGGAAATATCAAAGACAGACCACCTAGATAGATATGTATTTCAAAATTTGATCACTTAAAATCCTCGATACCACACCAGATGCATTATTCGCAAATCCGAGTTTAATTTAGCTGAAAATAATGAAGTACTTTGATGGAATTTAAAATCAACCTCCTTATACAGAGGGTCATGAACTAATTTTAACCTCAGAATCATGCTTTTTGTATTCAAAATATTTGAAGGCGCTTTAACGCCAGCTGGGGATAGCACTGCGCAGTGTCTGGGGGAAAAGGCATAGTCATGTGCGGTTTTCATTGTCTATGAATTCCTTACTAGACACGGTGAGTAGAATGAAAGATAACCAAATTATGTTGGAGGGAGTAAGCGTGTAGAAACGGAAGTATTGGTTGAATCGGGCTGGAGTCTGCAAGGTTTTTTTTTCTCCTCCACATGAATCGCAAAAAAACTAATCTTATAGCTCATTTTATTATGACATTATTAATGCCATCTTTGTTAAGTTAAAGCCCTAATGACTAATTTTCTTCTTCTTTTTTTTCCACCGAACTCAAGCAAGTTATAATCTATTTTATTGCATTTAGACCAATTTTAGCAGCGAATAATCAAGGCTTATCAAGTTGGAGCAAAGAAAAAATATTTGAAATGTTGGATTAGATTACAGAAGACTCAAAAGTAAAGGAAGGGTTCGTCCTATTTTCGTATTCAAAATATTTCTATTCGACTTTCAATTTTTAGGTATTAAAATATATTAGATCACTTGGCAAACCCCTCCTTTTTTATTATGAACTCGTATTACAAAAAAAAAAAAAAACAAAAAAAAAATTCACTCTTTTTTATAATATAGTCCATTTTTAATACTAGAATATGACCTTATTGTTGGACAGGTGCATCACCGGTTGCTGAGAACGCATACGCAAGGGCACCAAGAAACACTATGTCAGGGCTGATTCGTCTCGCTCTCCATCCATTGGCCAGCATCACTTGGCGACGTCAATGCCGCGAAACACTCAACCGGCAAGGAGCACTAGTGCTGAGCCAATTCTTACTGCCATCAGCCCTGAAGGCAATCACCGCCGAAAGCAAGATCCTGAGCCACCTTGCCTTTCAACCTATCAAGACGCACAATGTCTACCTGATTGAACCTGATGAGTCATTTCCAGCCGATCATCCGCGGAATCGACTGGTATTTTTACATTCGTTTTTAATAGATCTTTTTCTCTTGTCTCACACCATTCCTCTGTCCCCGGTGAATAAATGGTGATCCTGCTGTGGAGCAGTTGGACCACGTTAAGCAGAAAAGAACCAAGCCCCATTAGCTGCCGCAAAATTTAATTGGGCAATTTATTATTTACATGAGAACGCTTGTGCGGATTTTTGTGCAAATTTCAGCAAATTCCTATGAATTTACAAATAAATCCGCACAAACACTCACTTGTAAAAAATTGAATCGCCAAGTTTTTGGCAATGACTAGTGTGGCGTGGTTCCTTATTCCTGCTGAACGCGGTTCAGTTTATTTTAAAGCTGCGTTTCGGAACAAATGAATTTCCGTCTGTTGAGGAAATAAAAACCGCTCCACCTCAGAAAAAAGAGAAAAAAACTCATAAACCGCAGGTGATGGCAATTTCCGTAAAGTTTCATTTGAGGGATACTTTGAACTGAAGGTTGGGAATGTCTAAACGACTCGCGCGTTGATCCATAATCAGGGCCGGATTTACCTAATTGCCGCCGATGGGCCGCCTGTATTTTGCCACCCCCTTCTCATTCGTTTTTAAAAATCAATAAAAACCATCAAGTGAACGTGCCGGAGAAGGGGGGGGGGTGCATAAGACGCGTTCACCTACTCGTGTTGGATACATTTTTTGCGAAAGCCCTGTCAACACTACTAGCAAAATTTCACGGAACTTTGCGCGAAAGTTAAGTTCCGTAAACCTTTCTATATGTTGACAAGGTCCTCCATTTATATGAAATGAACTAAAAAATTATGAAAGAATAAACATAAATGTGGTTTAATAATTTTAACTTCCGTCGCTGCGCCGCGCTGATCGCCCTGTGTTTGGCGCAATGCGTGAAGTATTCCTGCAGTCTTGTAGGCGCTATGCGTTTCACGCCAACCACTCTTGACCGCACTGTGTTTGGCGCAATGAGTGCGAAGTATTCATGCAGTCTTGTAGGCGCTAATATGTGTTACATGCCAACCGCCGCGCCGAGGGCTTGTCCTTTTCATCTCAAGTCCTCGTCATCATTCCTCTCTGCGCTGAGCTCCAGGCCAAATCGCGTGTTTAGTTCCTCTCTTAACTCGACTAATTAAAGATGCTGTCTCTTGCATCACCGAAAAACGACAAAATTAGAAATTACTATACTCTCAGGAAAGAGAGATTTTGTCCCCTTTTCTCATTGATAATTTTTTTTCTGAATCCGATTTTTTTACCTACATTTAAAAAAATTGCAAAATTTGCCGTCCCCTAAATTTGCCGCAATGGGCCGCGGCTCATGTGGCCACCCCCTTAATCCGGCTTTGTCCATAATCAGTTCGTAAAGACTTTGAACGGCTCCACGAAGTATGACAATATCCTAAAAATATTTCCTGTCAAATTTGGAAATAGAACAAATGCTGTCACTTCTTATATAGGGATACAACTATTTCATGACATAAAAGTGTGCATTTGCCGGGCGAAGTAATTTGCTCACCCATTGAAATAAAGGCGAACCTTGCTCGATCGCTTACTTAGATCGGAACTAAACTCTGCACAATAGAAAGTAATATTCGCCTTCAATGGGCGAGTAGGCAAAAATACATGCTTTCGTCGAAATAGGCGCATATGTTGTGTTACATTTTCCTGGCGTGACGGTTCGTAAAATGGAGGCTTTTGCCTTGACAGCTGAATAAACTTCACAAAACTACACAATTGTTTTCTTTTAAAATCAACAATTTTCTAGTGGGAAACAAAAAATATTCGCTAATACGAGAGATTTTTTACATTATGAAGAAGCAACATTTATACAACACTGTAATCGCGCTGATTCTTTTTTGCTAAATGCGATCCATATATTCATATACATTAATGACTTTCAACTTTTTGTCATTATTGTCCTCTTTCACAACACTGGAAAAAAATCATATTGGCTCTAGAGTCCAGACTCTTAAAAACATCGACAAGAAAAAGTACTCTTGATTCAATCAGAATCTAGCTTAAATCAAGCCTCTTAATTTAAGCGGATTTCGTTTTGATTGAGGCAAAAATCCGATTGAATCAAGAGTATTTTTTCTTGTCAATGTTTTCAAGAGTCTAGACTCTAGATCCAATGTCTTTTTTTTTTTTTTTTTTTTTTTTTTTTTTTTTCTCCAGTGAAGGATTGTCTACATCAATGTTATGAACGACTCGACTGGCCTTAATTTTTCCCCATTTTGTTGTTATCAGGTACTAAGCAGCGACAGCTGGATCGCCGACGACGTGATCCCGGGCGACTCCCTCCTCCGCCACCTCTACAACGACGACCTCTTCAAAAGCTTCCTGAGCGACGTGCTCGGCGAGGAGGCTCTCTACCCGTACTCGGACCCGCTGTCCCCGATCAACATCCACTACGCCTCCGCGGGCCAGGAGCTCGGCTGGCACTTCGACAACTCCTCCTTCTCCATCACCCTCCTCCTCCAGGAGTCCCTCGGCGGCGGCGTCTTCCAGTACGTGAAGGACCTCCGGGACTCCGACGCCGGCGAGATGAATTACGAAGGCGTCGTGTCCGTCCTCGAGCGGCGCTGCCCCTACGAATCCTTGAAGATCCGGGCCGGGGATCTCGTCCTCTTCCGCGGGCGGAATTCCTTGCATCGCGTCACGCCTACCGAAGGTGACGTCACCCGCATACTAGCTAGGCTCGCTTATAATCCCAGGCCGGGGATCGCGCTCTCCGAAAGCGCGAGGATGACGTTTTATGGACGGATATAAAACGAGGGATTTGGTTCGTTCTTGAACTAGTACTCCCAATTGGACTGCATTTTGCAAATTGGAGCTATAAATTCTGTCTCATTTGAAAAAACACATATGTGCATAGGAAAACTAATGGCACATACGTTTTTTTTCTTAAACCGGGCCAGAATTTATAGTTTCAAATTGCAAAATGCAGTCCAATTGACACAGGAAAATATCACAGACAAGAGACCCTTCACTAGTATCTTGGCAATGGTGGAGGCTTTTACTTTCGGGACTTCAACATTCAACTGTTCACCTACCTACTTGGTTAATGGTTAACAACGTGTCGGCAGTTTCGTTTTGCTAACTTACCGAAGTTTGGGAAACTGGTTTGGCTCATGACGTCACCCGAAGCTCATTATCCGCCAAGTAGGTAAGTCAACAGCCGAAAAAATAGTGATGACTGTTACGCCCCCATAATGGTCCATAAGAAAGTGTTGAATCCCCGAAAGTAAAAAGCTATCACCTGTCGCCAAGAGGCCAGTGGAGGGTCTTATGTTTCTGAAAAATACTGATGAAAGGTCAAGAGCTAAACTCAGCCGACGTATGACTTTGCGCTTAAAATTTGTGTCAATAAATTTCTCCAACCACCGCGGGAGGTGGATCAACATATTTGGATAGGGTCCTTATTGCTGGGGGGGCGCTCTCCTCCAGAAATCTTCTCCCCCCCCCCCAAGAAATGAGATCGATTTTCCTAAATAAGTGTGTGAAATATTGTTTACCTTTGAAATGTTAATTTGATCAATTTGCTGGTTAAAACGGCTAATAATCGCTCCTAAGGCGACTCAATTTTTCATGAGGCCCTTTAGGAGAGGCCGCCTTCCCGAACCTGGAGTCCAGAGAAATCCTCCGGATGATTCCGTTTTGTTGTCACGGAGGTTTGCAGTTTTTTTTTTAAATAACGGTACCTATCCGCTCGCGTAAAGACTTGGGGTAAACATCTCATCGAACGACTTGTTCAAAAATTCAAATCCTAAAACGATGAATTCTTCCCAAATCCCTCCGAATCTGCTCTGAAATCCCTTCAAATCCCCCGCGCCTCGAATGGCTGGATCAGAGGAGAAGAAACTCGCAGAACATAAGGCTCTGCCACCTGGATGAAGTTACCGGCATGAATTCAATCAAATATCTTAAACTCCATCTAAATAGTGAAAACTTCAAACGCACGTGAACAACTAGATACAGTGTATTTTTAAAGAACCCGAACCATAATATTTTTTTTTTCTTTCGGAAGACCACGTTTGGATTCGCCAAATGATGACTGATGACCAAAGATTTGAGCAATTGGTTCAGAAATCCAAACCTAATTTGCAAAAACTCGCCTACGCTGGAAAAAAAACACATTGGATCTAGAGTCCAGACTCTAAAAACATCGACAAGAAAAAGTACTCTTGATTCTATCAGAATCTAGCATAAGTCAAGAACCAAACTTCTTAATTTAAGCGGATTTCGTTTCGATTCAAGCAAAAATTTGAATGAATCAAGAGTATTTTTTCTTGCCAATGTTTTCAAGAGTCTGGACTCTTGATCCAATGTGTTTTTTTTTCCAGTGTAGAAAATTTACGCAATAATATCATTGACTTCTAAACTTAAATTTTGTAAAGCCCAACTACATCTCTCAGATTTTAGTGCGCGGTCTCTGTGGACAATATGGTCCTTTCGACAGTTTATGCTTACATTCGGGAGCAATCGCAATTTCTGACCTTCTACAACTCACCCGAACTGAGATCTGTAATTTTATAGGAGTTTCGTTTGAAATGTGGTTTATTTTTGTAGTTTACTCTGCTGTTGTAACTTTTTAATGTTTCGTACGTGTCCGATCAAATATATTGCTTTCGCTTTTGACCCCGTTGGTGCACGGCCGTCAAAGTGATCTGCATAATATTTCATCATTAATTCGCAGATTCATTGATTGCACCTGTCTCATTGACAATGCATGGTTTTACTGTAATGCTGTGTTACAGAAAAGGACAGTAAATCCATTTCTACATATGTACACATGAATTCTTATCAAATGTGACTACGAACCGACATGAGCCGTGAGATTCACAAGAATACATTCATGACAAGGCTCATGCATGTCACAATGAATAAAGTTCCAGTGAGCCACGACTAGCATATGCTTTTATGTACCTGGACGCTCATACCAGAAAGTACTTACTGCTCTTTTTCATAACACGGCAATGTATCGCACTGATGATTTCTGTGTAATCCTCGGGATAGTATTTTGTATGTGAAAATGAAAATGAAACTTTTTGAGGCTATTTCATGGAATATCCATGGTAGTGCATCTTAGGATTGGTCCTACCTCAGTACTGGTATTCCAAAGAAAAGAGGAATGTAATGAAGATTAGATTTATTATTGCCTTAATGTATTATTATTCTTAACCGAGTGAGATATTATGTATTTACATCCTCTTCTTTCTAATCAACACCTATATGTTTAAAAATTCAGGTGAAAAAAATTAATAGTGATGACTCTCAAGAGATGGGACCTGTCTGTATAGCACTAATAATAAATCTAAAGTAACCCCGCCGTTGAAGAGAAGTACTTTAAAAACAAATAATTTGTCGCTTTCTCCGTTGCTCTTGTATAGACTTTAATATAGAATTTTTAAATATCGGTCGGTTTGAAGGCTGAACGATAAATTACAGGAGTTCAAACAGTAAGAGACGAATATTTTCGATCGCCTCTTACGAGTGGCGTTCTATTAACACATTGTTTTTCTTTTTTATACTACCTTTTAACTCTCCTTGAATGTTCATCAATGAAGACTTTTAATTTACTTTACAAAATCTGATGTATAAGTGTAGCCTAAAATGTAACATATATGTGAAATTACCTTAAATTATTATAAAAGTTATTCAATCATTTCAGTATTTAAACTTTTCTTTCGAGCTCGACCTTTTTCCATATTTTATTTTGATACACTTATGATTTAAAGAGACCAGGCACGTGGTCAGGAGGGGGGCTTGGGGCTCAAGCTCCCCCTCCCAAAAGCAAAGATACTGCAGAATTTCCAATTCCGGGGTTGACCCTGGGCCCCCATGCTCTGAGTAGACAGACCCCTTTCACCCGGCCAAGCCTCCTCCTTGGAACAAAATCCTGGCTACGTGCTTGAAAGAGACTAAAAAGTTCGATGCTCCACCGGCAGGCTCTTTAAAAAAAGGAGTTCTTACGAAAATATAACAACGTACATTTAACAGGGATGATATTTATTGAAAACAACAATTATGAAAAGAGATAACTGAATTCTGTCATTTTTGATGACCTTTGATGTTCTAATCGGCCAAGTGCAGGTGTTGAAACTGTTGGAAGGATGCTGAAACAATGTGCATACTGTAAAGCAACTACGTAGATATATTTTATCTTATCGTAACATTTTGTACATTTAAATTTACTGGAAAACAAAGAAAAAATATACCAAGTTCTCAAATGTTAACACTGTGACGTGTCTTCTCAAGAGGTAAAAACAAATTTTAAGACTTTATTAAGACCTGAGAATATTTACAATTTATTTTGTGTCCTTACTTAGTAAAAATAATATCCACAAACACGTATTAGAGCGTCTGCACTACTTATGACCTTACCACTACTTATGAGGTAAGCTGTAACCATATGTGCAAAACGAAGGTATGGATCTGAGTCTCATTCCGTGAAAAAGATTGATGGAGCCTATTATCATTAGCTGAAACTAATTTTAATCCTAGGAGGCAACTTTTTAACAAAATTAAGTAGCGATGGAACATTTATTCGATTTTTTTTTTTCAACAGAGCTCACTAAAATCAATTTAAATGTATGAAATTCCGGCTTGATGACATTACTCCGTTTGAGATCAAAGGACTCTTTTACCCGTGTATGGAGATCTCCTCACAGCGTATACGCATCTTAAAATATTTTATCTCTGAAACTGCAGTTTCTAAAGGTTCTTTTGTGCGATTAAATGTAAAGCACAAAATGCGCAGGAATCATCGATGATCGACGAATCGCATATTTGACAAAAAGGGCCGAAGGTGGCGTGATGCCTTCATTTTGTCAGTGTCATGAAAATTCGCCGGTAGAATATGAGTCCACGAATATCGGGGATTGCTGCTTATTCAAGACACTGGATCAGTTAATCAGGAGCCACACACAGTTAGTTGGCAATCTATTACAATAAATTGAAAGAAGGAAGTTCCGCATTTTCTTTTCTTTCTTTTTGCAATTTATATTTGTGATAAAATATAGACGGCTCTTATTTCCCATCCACTATAAAAGCCAACCAACGAGTTTCGCGGAAATCGATGGGTTGCGATAATTACAGAATTATATTTTGATGGATGAAACTTAAAGGTCAGCAACAAGAATCAGATGTACAAAGTACAAATTTCTAAGTTTAGTGCTCGTAACTACAGCTAGCACACAAAGGATAGACACAGAATACGTGTTTGTGAATATTATTTCTACTAAGTAAGGGCACAAAATAAATTGTAAATATTCTCAGGTTTTCAGAAAGTCTTAAAATTTGTTTTTAACCTTTTGCAGATCTCTAATTTGCCTAATACTACTGAAGTAAGTTTACGTCTGAGGTACAGAGACTGCATCACCGTTAACAACAATTGTGTAGTCAGTTGCGTTGAAAATATTTTCAGCTGGAGGTATCGAACGCGGAGCCATGGGATTGGTGACGCTCACGTAATGGCGTGGTGGAGTGATCCCCTTCCTTACCCAGGAGTGGCGCTCTTCTTTGTTTTGGTAAATCGGAAATCCGACCTGGAAAAAGTTCACCGCGATCGGATCCGACAAAGAATATTTTGCGGAGAAATTTCTAGGCAGGAATCTCGTTCGAATATTTGGGCCTCTGAAATATTAACGTAATTATCATTTACTTTCACAATAATAATTTGACGTCATGGTCAACGATCAGAGATTACTGAGAATTGGGTCAAAGAACTAGAGTATCGATGAGTGGAAAAGGTCATTCCGAAATAAAAAGTAAGAGCAGAGAACCTAATTTGTAATAGACAAGTTTATGCTGAATTAAAAAACTTTGTGAAAATGAATCAAAATTATGAACTATATGCATGGAGGCTATGCGTTAGTTCGTTTTGATTCTATCCATTTTCACATAGTTCTATTCAGCTTTCACTGAAACATCCAAATCCGTTCTTTAAGGAGACGGTAATATAGTGGATCAAGTTCAGTAAAAGACAGCCCAGTCAAACTACCCGAAAAAAATTAGTTAAAAGTGTCTTTGATCGGTTTTTAACTTTTTCCTGCCAAAAATATAAAACGCCAATTTTTTTAGTATCCCAAACATAGAAACACATGCCACCCATTTGTTTCCTTTTTGCAATGTAATTTACAAAAAAAAAAAAAAAAATTGGAAAAATAAGGTTATCGGAAAAATGGAGAAAAATACACCCATATTATGAGTGTATTTTTCTCCATTTTTAATAATTTGATACATTTTGTTTCCTTATTTCAAACCCAAGCAAAAACACAGCGTAACTCAGATGCCCAAAACTTTTGTTATACGCAAAGTCCCTAGTCGGATCAAATTGACCCGTATTTAAATACATCAATTTTCATTGTATTTGAAATATTATCTGCCTTATTACCATGTTTTATGAAAGTTCATTTCTCCCCTCTTCAAAATTATTATTGTCTTGGACTTAACGTAGCATATTTTGAGCAAGCTGATAACCTCAACTTTTCTCAAATTTCAAGAAAAAAGTGGCACTTTAACGCTCGTTTCTGACAGCGTAGAGATATAACTATTTATGCTTGATGGATGTGCATGTTAGATTTGTAGAATTGAATGCGGGAGCTGTAACTCGCAATGCTCTATTTTATGCAATTTGTGAGGTAACCCGCCGATGCGGTCGATAAGTTAAAAAACGAGGCCGATTGCGTATCTCCCATCTTCGGCTGTATTGTTCACATACTCCCTTATGCAACGCGACAAGTAAGACAAGTCGAACCAACATAGCATGAAAACTAGCAAGGGAATGCGCGCGTGTTGCTGACGGCGCAGAGATACAACTATTCGTGCTTGATGGATGTCCCTGTTGCATCTGCAAAATTGAAGGCGCGATGGTGCGAGACGCGTGCTCGGGGGTTCCGCTATACCTTGCCAGGTCGAGTAAGTTTTATTGAAAGGAATTTTTGGTGACCCTTTCGCAAGCGAAAGCAACTAGAAGAGTCACTGTTTGCTCCACTCCCGAGAGCGTCGTGTCACTTAGATTTGGGGGAAAAGTTTTAAAACGTGGCCCGAATACGTCTTTTTAGCGGCTCTGGTGCTTGCACTAGAGCTGCTATTCCGGACGGTCCCAGCTGGGGAGTATCATTGGACCATGTTACATTGGAGAGACCGCGCGTTGGTTAATGGGAATCGGCGCCATTTTCGGCTATGTTCCTTGTCATGACTTTATTTTATTGCATATTGTTTTATTGTTAGCCAATGCTATGTTGTGTAGTGTATTTTTGGAATCATGGTGATACAGTCAATAATTCAAAACTTGTCTGTGCTTTAATCTCGTGATGGAAAAAGTGTACTTTACGTTCAAAATTTGAAAATTTGAATTTTAAAGTTTTCGCGGTTAAGGAAGCTCCAACCACTGGGTTGGAGCTCCCTAGTCATATTACTCGATATCAGCTGATAGCAAACAAAGGTTACCAAGGAAACCGTAAACGTCTAATGCCGTCTGCCCACGTAGCAAACGGGAGGCGAAAATGGAAGTCATCAGTGCATCGTTGAGTGTTGACGCCCGATCCCATTTTCAGACATGTTCACCAACACCAACTAACAACATACCATCCATCGATGAATAAGGTTATGCCGAAGTTAGGCAAAACATTTCAACGGTCTCTTATGGAGGAAAGCTAGAATTTTAAGAAAATTTATGATTTCCCCGGTAACGAAAGTTTTGGAACTCTATAAAAAGCTGACGAGTTACGTAGAGAACATTGTAGTAGCACATAACATCCATCTTAGTGAAATTATCCCGTATTTTTCATCGTTTTTCACCTAGTGCCAAGTGTTGTTTCCAAGTATTTTGACTATGACTCCTGTTTTCCCAGCCTTTCCCAATGGCAATCATCTTAGTAGGGCGGATAAGCATAACAATCGTGCATCTCTGGAAGAAAGCATGAAACTTTCAGGATATCATCTTTACTTATGGAAGGTTCAATTTCGCAAGTGAGCCCAAAATTCTGAGGCCATGGGGGCCGGGGGGGCAGGGGGCCCTGATTTCGCTATGTTTTGCCGAATTTTCGCGTTGAATCATTGTTAGAACGCCGTTAACAATGTAAAATGTAATCAAAACTTGAGTAAACATCATTAGTAGGTTCTCTCAAACAGTATCCTAAAATTTTATCACCGTCCGATCCCGGAGCACCCCTCAAAATGCCTAAAATTCAAAATGGCGCCCTTAATAAGGCCTCCAGAATATCGGTATTTTCACTTGTGCATATCCTGTCATGTGAGGTATCATTTTCCATGTAATTT